CGAGAAAGTCAAATGGTTTTTCAAGAGCAGACCAGGTACTACGTACAAGGATGGCGACAGGAATGCTGAATAAATTTCCTTGAAAAAACTTTGGAAAGGTCAGGCAGGCTCTCAAATATCTATCGATTGACATTAACCCCCACGATCAACAGTTCCACATGTTCGTTCTAGAAGCGGACCTTTTTGCAATGGGCTAGCCACACTATCACTCATTACCAGTGATGACCTTCCTTCGGATCTGCAAGTCACTCTGGGAAGAAACACGCAAGCTGGGCATTTTCTCGAGGGTTTTCAGCAAAGAAAAACATCGATAGTTCACTATTTTTCTAAGGTCTTTCTTTTCCCGTTACCGACTAACCAAATCAAAGAGAAAGGCCCTTTGAAGGGCTGCTCTGGGAATTTCCAGCAGAGACTCTGATGACGCACAATCACGCCATGCCAGAAAAGAAGAGCCTTTGTTCTCTGCGACGTCGACAGACCTGGTTCTGCACTCTTTGGAAAAAATAGTAACTTATCGCGGGCTGTTCCCTTCTAGCGGGCTCGTGGAATGTGCCTTCAATTATCTCGACGCGTCTTTGTGGAGATAGAATACTTGGCAATCAAAAATGGCTGATCAACCCTGTTTCGAAAGATTCGACCTCACAGCGAACACGATTTTAGAGCGGCGGGAAAGTAAAATTTGCTGCTTCATCGCTCCCAAGAAAATTTCGGCACAATCGCAAGATATGGTGGCACTGTTGTGCTGATGCATTTAAAAACCACGTAATAAACTTCCTCTTCATTAAAATCGGGGCTAGTCTTACACTGGAGAGGAGGGGTGCGTGACAAACACTTATTTTTCCGATGTTCTCCCCCCTCCTAGGCTTAGTCCTAAGATATGGCCCCTATCTTGTGATATCTTCAGAATTTACTTACAAAATTGTCAATTTGTGCAGGCAACGTGCGTTCAACACTCCTAAGGCGACCGGTGTGACCGAAATCGGACCGATTTCCTGCAAACCAAACATATTACTATGATTGATGACCACGTTTGCTGAACCGCTACGGTCTCCGTCAAGGTGAACCTGCCCTTTCTCTGAAAGCACTGGCTGCCGTCAGATGAAGCCATGCGCAGAGATATTCGATTTCATCGCCTTCATGTTGCTTGGGTGAGAGTCGCGCTACCTTTTCCACACCACGTACCGTCTGCATCCTGGAAAGGGACAATTGCCTCTTCCTCTGCTGTTTCACTTGTCGCTCCGCTGAAATTTGAGCATGGCAGATCCCACAAATAAGGAGGATTAGGCCACCATATGCATTCCCAGAATTTTAGGATGGGAGCACCATCTAACTTCGATTCCTTATTTACTTCCTTTCTATAGAGTTATCTACAGCAATACTGTCGCTCCTTTTGGGCAACCCTTAGAACACCTTCTGGCACGTCGTCTCAGACGTATCGAATAAACAGATGCATAAATAATAATGGGTGGAGGTTGAAAGGGATACATATTCCAAGTCGAAAGGCATGTGGGCCCCCTAAGGGTGCGGGACGATACGCGTTCTGCAGCAAAGAGTATGAGCCGTGCAGTCCATCAGGGCCGTACCCGCGTCGCTCGCGCTGCTGTCCGCCCATTGACCGGCTGACTGCTCAAGTCACTCTACACCCGTGGACTATACCAGTTTAGTAGAGCATATGAGCCTAATGAAGCTCTGTGCTGAGCAGTGATTTGCCATCTTTTTTCTAACCCAGTGCTCTCAAGAAGAACTGGGAGCACTTTCATATGTCTATACTTTCACAGAAAATGCTGAAGGCCACTTAAAGAATGTACTGCATTCATTGAAGGGAAATTCAAAGATGGCGCCTTGGATCTTTTTAATTATTACAAAATTAAATAAATTAAGTAAATTTTTAAACAACTTGCATAATAGGCAATAGGTTTAAGTTAATGAGCCAAGGAGGAACTTAAAGGCATTGATAAAGCCAAGAAAGATTTAAAGGCAGTGGTCACGTGGATTGGAGGGCGCCGCAATTTTCCTTT